TTGACACTGCCTGCCTGGTCCCACGTCTCCTCCTCCTGATTCCTTCAATACAGCCTCGGAGCGTGCACGAAATCGGCACCCGCTCCGTTCGGCTCACTACGCGCAGAAAGACACAATAGGAAGCGCTGGAGAGATGCAATATGCAACGCTGGAGAGACCCAATAGGCAGCCCTGGTGACATCTATACGCAGCCCTGGAAAGACTCATTGGCAGACCTGGTGACATCTGGACGCAGCTGGTGAGATCTGGACGCAGTCTGGTAACACCTGGACACAGCCTGGTAACATCTGGACACAGCCCTGGTGAGATCTGGGCGCAGCCCTGGTGAGATCTGGGCGCAGCCCTGGTAAGAGCTGGACGCAGCCGTGGTGACATGTGGAGTCCAGATGGCACCAGGCTGCGTACAGATCTCACAAGGCTGTGTACAGATTCTGGACGCAACCTGGTGAGATCTGTACACAGCCTGGTGAGATTTGCACACAGCCCGGTGAGATTTGCACACAGCCCGATGAGATTTGCACACAGCCCGATGAGATTTGCACACAGCCGGTGAGATTTGCACACAGCCCGGTGAGCTCTTTACGCGCAGTCAGGTGAGATCTTTACGCGCAGCCCGGTGAGATCTTTACACGTAGCCCGGTGAGATCTTTACACGCAGCCCGGTGAGATCTGTACACGCAGCCCGGTGAGATCTGCACACGCAGCCTGGGGAGATCTGTACTGAGCTCACATGGCCCTTTAAGAAAAGGTATCGGTAATTGGTATCGGCAAGTACCTGAGGGAAAGTACTTGTACTTGGTCTTGAAAAAGTTGTATCTGACCCCAATCCGAGAAATGTGAATGTGTGATTGAAAAAAAGTATAGTGTGCCTTATTATTCAGTACAAGGAAAGTTTTGCACTGAATAACAAAGCTTATAATGTAACCAAACTGTGATGAATGCACAGACATAATATATTTTTCCCCACAGTAGCTCTTTGTGTTATATATCAGAGAGCGGTGGAAAAATTGCTTAAACTGTAGCTTTGCATCTTAAGAAGAATGATGATGTTATGAGACCTTAATTTTAGTTAAAGAACTAAGCTTCATTTATTTGTGTTTTTTTACAAGCATTTGAATGTTTTTATTCCATTGAGACAGACATAAAATATAGCTAGGCATTGAAACAGTAATGTTGTAAAATTAATGTATAACCTCTTTGTAGTTCTAAGATTGAATTTGGACTACATTCTATATAAAAACATAACTTGTGTCACATCTAAATCTCCAAACCTACATATTTCTTAATTGCAATTTGTCATGTAAAGATTGATTTTCATATATCTAACCCTTGGGTAAGAGAACTGACAGATTCTATTTAGCATTACTGACCCATGGAACGATCAGAAAATGATTTGGCAGCATAGGAGAATGCCATTTATCAAATCTACGCTTAGATACATAATTAAAATGCACATTGGTATATCTTCATCAGACGTCTCATAGTAAATGAGGTTGGCTGGGAATCAGTAATTGATAGCCAAGCAGGCCTTAAAGTAACTTAGCCAATGCGTTTTACAGGATATAAGCACATTGGTATGAGGAAACTTGGTAAAAGGGCACGCAGGACCCTGGTCTTTAGACTTAGATTTTTGGGCGGAAAAAAGGAGGAGGAATTTATTTAGCAAACAGGCAATTTATATTCGAACACACTTTTTATTTCTTTTATTTTCTTTTTTTTTTTTACCACTCACTCCACCCCACTAAATGGATATTTACTTTACAGCTTCTGATCCCTCAGGGCTAAACGAAGATAGTTAGTTTTCACTTAAACTTGAGATCCCCTTTTATTTTTGCGTGTAAATGAGATTTAAAGGCCCAGTATACCTAAGCAACAGCTTACTGTATGTAAAGATGCTACTGTGTTAGGCATGAAAGTGGAAACCATCGTTAACAGTAGGATGGAACAAACCTTCTCTAGTGGACTGCCCCCAGAGGAGGTGAGTATTGCTGCAGAAGCTGTTTTATTTATTTAAGCGCTGCTAGGCTACTTTAAAGTTATACCAACAGTCTAGCTGGGATGGATAAATAAAGAGCAATAGATAGGCTGAATGGATAGATAGGCCTCTTCTGAAAAAAAGACTGCTACAGGGTCCATCTATTGTTGGTTACATAATCAGGAGTCTCGGTGTTTGGTCACATTCCATATTAAAAATTCCTTGCAGGCCTTTAAGAATTTAGCTGATGTGTTATACAGGATTTAGACACATTGGCATTAGGAAACTTGGTACTGGTATTAAGAGCAGACTGAGAAATTGGTCTTTAGGTTTTAGATTTTGGGGCAAAAAAAAGGGTGAGTAATTAGTTTAGCAGACATGCAATGTCTGCTAAAGTTTTATATTTTCCAAAAAAGGTAAGCAATTCTGCCCATGAATTTTTTTAATGCCAACACAGGCAACACAGAACTGAGTGAAAACAGATATTTTAGTATGAAATATGTGACTGGTTATGGGCTGCATAACTCCTCACTGATCATAGGGAGAACCAGCCACTCTGATCTCCCATTTACCATTCTATATTAAATGTTCATGTATTTGTATACATTAATATTTAAAGTAAGATTTTTAAAATAGAAGGTAATTTAAGTTACGGTATTTAAGAGAAATCTTTTTTATTTAAGCTTTAGTGTGCTGTAATTAATCTCTACCATCCAAAGTATCTAAAGCAAGAACTATTACAAAAAACTGAAAATGTCTTAGTGACATTCAGAGTGTTACTTGACCTTAAGAAGGGTTGTGCCCACTGGCCACTCAGTAGATAATGATCAGTAATCACTCCAGGGACACAAGAAGAATTACAAATACCTACTGCTGTTTCCGTGCACAGTGATAAAATTAAATGACATATTTTGCAACCCTTCAGTATAGACTTGTAACTTATTTTGATAAACACACATATGCTCTACAGTTTTGTGTGTCAGTGCTACCCTATTTATTTATGATCCTTTATTTATTTTATGGTTAATTTTTAAATGCACTGGAAAAAGTGTTCCTGTTGTAGAACAGGCAAGGTTGGGGCTCAGGGGTGGGGTGGAGTTGGAATGGTGGTAGGTGAGGTGGTCAGACCAAGGGGGGTTAGGGTGGTCGTAGGTGCAGTGATTAATGTTAGGTGTGATGGGAGGCAGGTTCAGTTGTGACAGCAGGGAAGCGTGCAGCCATGGTCTTGGGTATGTCAGCGCGCAGGCACAGTGGTGGTGGTGAGGGGATGGAGGTCAGGTGTGGTATGCTATTGTTCATGCACAGTATGCTACTGCCATATTGTGATGCTATGCTGCACTTGCATGGGTATTGTTTGCATTCAGCGCAAACATCTTGGCATACTGCCAGAACTTTGTGATGTTGTATGGTGTATTCTTGGGGATTGCGTGTAAGCAGCATTGTATGAGCTCATAATGATGCATGAGAAGCAATACTGTGCATGCAACCAGCCACGATATTTGAAAGCACCTACACCCCATCCTGGAGAACATCAAAGGGGTGAAGTTATTACTGAAATGAAATGTAGATCTAGGGTATACTTTGACAGTTCAGAAATGCTTGATTTAATTGTGTTTCTAGGGCAAGGGATGTGTGAAATTTGTTTACAGCCAATTCAAAAGCTAGAATTGGCTCTAGCTGTTTGGGGTTAAAGGGCATGGGCATTTCACATTATATATAAAATGAATTCATTTTATTACTTTTTTGTTGTGTAAGACAACACGTTATTGCCCAAAACAAGATATTTAAGTTATGAGTGGATGGTTGCGGGCTTAATCACCCCTTGCTACATGTATCTCTCTTGGCAGCCAGATCATGGCTCTGAACTTAATGACTCTACTGCATCCCCTTATAATCCACCCACCCTTCCCCAGCATCTTTGTCCTTAGTCCAGCTGCACCAAATACCTTTCTTTGCAGTAGTGTTAGAAACTTCTGTCAGGTAATAAATGCCTCTCAATTCAGTGATTTCCCCCTGCTTTCTGTTCTGTCTGCCACCTAGTCAGGAATAAAGTTTCTCAAAAAGCAATAAAAACTTGACAGAAGTTCTTACCCTTTCCCTCTGTGCCAAAATAGTCTTCTGTTTGCTGTATATGTCCCCATTGGAAAGATTTGTCCTTACCTCCTGTTCTGTTTGACATCCATGAAAATAGATATAATTTAAGGCAAAATCTTTCAAATGGGAGCAACAATAAACAGTTGGATTAAGTTCTAACCATGGCCCACACCATAACTTCAAAAGAAATGTTTGGCCTGGGGTCACTCTAATATTGTGCAGGATTATTTAGCCAGCAAAAAAAACATACATGCCGCCCATATTTTTTTTTTTACTCTTATTTTCCGGCTATTTGCATCCACTTGCTAAACCCACCACATTTAATCTGTAATTGCACTATAAAACGAAATAGGTGAAAATCAGAGAGTGTGCGTGCTGAAATTAACAGTTATGTCAGTCACATTTGATCATTATGGAAAGTAACGGCATCTGGGTATGTGTGGGGTCATTGTTCAACTTCTGCCATTATTGCATCAAACTAAATTGTATGTATTTAAACAGATGTTTGTGTAGCCTAACACGATGATCTCCAGGGACTTGTTCTCATTAAATGGTAATAGGTAATTGTTCTGCCAGTAACTATTGTTACCTGTCATTTTCATTTATTACTGAATGATGACAAGGCTTGATTAATATTGTTAGAATAAACTCTGAAAATATTAAACAGGGAATTGATTAAAAAATATGCTACATTGTACATGCACAGTGTAGCTAATATTATTTTTATGTTTTACTATAAAGCTGAAGCCTTCATTGGTTTACATGAAAAGAGTATGTGTTATGTTTCCTTTTATCTGATCTCAAGAAATTATGGCAATTTGTCTTCAGTAGTGCCATATCATGAAGGTAATATAAAACGTGTTTGTTCTTTGTTTGAAATCATCTTGAAACCTCACTGATGTATTCTGTTCTCTGCTTCTTACATCACCAGCTTGCCATCCATCTTGTCGTAGCTGCCTGGGCCCAGAGGACTCCCACTGCACACAGTGTATAAAACCAGAGGACTGGCTCCAGGCAGTTAAGGAGTACAGAGGAATGCCTTATGGGACATGTCAGACTCATTGCAAGCCTCATTTTTTTGTGGACAGTACCGGAATATGCCAGGGTAAGATAAACATAAAAGTATACAGATATAATACAAACTTTCTCATTGCTTACCACCAAAGGTAAAACTGCAGACTTGGAAAAACTAGTAATCAAGATAATGATTTGGTTAATGTTTTCTGGGACTGTTTGCACAAGACATGAATTAGTTATGTGTGCTCCTGAGTATTAATTAACCAGTTGACATCCGCGGTGTTAAACCCCCTTCCCATCCATGCCATTTTTCAGTATTCAGAGCTGCGGTACTTTGACTGACATTTATTCCGTCATGCAGCGCTGTACTGAAATGAATTTTATACCCTTTTTTGGGGACACATAGAGCTTTCTTCGAGCCGGTACCGGGCCGCAGATGGGGCAGCGGATCCCGGGATTAAAGGTGAGGGGTCAGGAGGGGGGAGATGGCGGCACCCGCGATCGCGCGGGGGGGGAGGGGGGCCTCCGAAATTCACGCCATACAACCGATCGAGTCAGCAGAGCTTCACCTCATTTAATAAAGCTAAGGAATAATCCCCTTCCAAAGTGAACAACCTAATTGCCTTTAGTAAATAAATTCCAGAGCTTTTAAAAATCGTATTACAATTTCAACACAGTACATTTGTTATGATTTTTTAGAATGAATTGGTGCCTGCATCTGCAGAGGTTAGTCATAGCTTGGTCACAGATTAACTTGAAGTTAGGATCACCTCAGGTTAACACACTGCAGATGCAAGATATCCCTGAAAATAAATGTTCACTTCAGCCAGAATAATCACTAGGAATCTATTTCATGTTAGCAGCACCTGCAATCTCTATTTTTGGCCTACTTTGTGTGTACCATTCACCTTGTGTCAGATTTTGAGCCTACCTCTCCAGCAATATGTATTGTAGAAATCACACAATTTTCAGAAGACACAGTCTTTGTAGGAGCGTATGCATGCAGGAGGCCGACATTTAGCACTAACAGGGCATGTGGTGCCACAGTTTATGAATTGATTGTAGTTGGTATTTGTTGCATTCACGTAATTCAACAGCAGTTCATAAATATATTGATGAAAAGTTTACTTCCCCAGGAACTCATCCAAAAATGAAGCAGATGTCAGATGGTAAAACTATATACTGTACAGTCGCAAAAGCCAGACTAGCTATATACAGTTACAGCTACAGTTTCCGCTAACACTGGCAATAAATACTATACTTACAAACCTTAGTGGGAACATTGCCATAAATGTAATATGTTTGGGAAAAAATGGTTATGTCAGTTTTAATGCTGCACTACTTGCTGCCTGACAGAATTTAAATATATATTCATGATCTCCTCAAGTTCAGGGTTACGTCAAAGAAACTTATACATGCAAACAATGCTGATTTGTTGTTTTTTCATTATTATTATTTCACAAACAATTTATATGTTAAGCAAAACTCAGGCTGTGATAAATGTTGTCAAGAGTGCCTGTTTTGCATAGTACCAATACAATACTGTGTCCAATATAAGCTCTCTAGTGGTGAGCCAATAGGAATGGTTTACATTAGGGATGCACCGATACCACTTTTTTAAGGCCGAGTACGAGTACCGATACTTTTTTTCAAGTACTCGTGAATACCAATTACCGATACTTTTTCTTAAAGGGACTGGTCAAATTTTTTCTAAAGCAATACAAAATCATGATTTTAGGTCAGTTTCTTAATATTATGAAGAACATGAACACTCTGTAGTGTGGCACAGCTATATCCAATTCTGCATACCTGGCTTTATATTATAAGAACTTTATAATATAAAGCCAGGTATGCAGAATTGGATACAGCTGTGCCACACTATACAATAACACACTGTTCTGGACATGTGATCAACTATTTTCCCAAGAAAAAGAAGTGAGATGATCTGAGGGATCAGCTCAAAGTACAGCTAGTAAGGAGGGTCGGAGAGTTTACCGGATTAAACTCAAAAATGAATTCCTCAAACATTTTTGAGTTTAATCCGGTACCATTTATTATGCTGATCAGCTCATCCTCAGAGTGCATTTCTGTGTTTTATGAGTGAATGGGTTGTTGCAATAACCAATTTTAGATGTTGAACTGGTGTTGGTGTTAACTGGTGCATTTAGTATGTGCATTGAGATTTTAAATAATAAATGTATAATATTTTCTATCATATTTTGAGTGGCCGACCCTCCTTACTAGCTGTACTTTGAGCTGATCCCCTCAGATCATCTCACTTCTTTTTCTTGAGTCTAGTTTAAGCAGCTGGGGGTTGTTCTCTCTTTTGAGAGTCATCAAATAATTAATATACCCAATTAAGGGGCTAATTAATTTTGGGTCTGGTTCTCTGGGTTTTTGCCCCTTTTTTCCTATCATCTATTTTCCCCACTATGGGGATACAAGCCTTAGTTAGCAATGGCATGATAAATATTCATTTCATTATTCAATGTCTTTTTTTTAATATTATAACATTTTATAATATTAAAAAAAAAGACATTGAATAATGAAATGAATATTTATCATGCCATTGCTAACTAAGGCTTGTATCCCCATAGTGGGGAAAATAGATGAGCACATGTCCAGAACACAGTGTATAGTGTGGCACAGCTGTATCAAATTCTGTATAACTGGCTTTATATTATTATTAAATTTTCTTATAATATAAAGCCAGGTATGCAGAATTGCATATAGCTGTGCCACAGTGTTCTGGTCTGCAGTCTAGACATGTGCTCATCTATTTTCACCACTAGGGGGATACAAGCCTTAGTTAGTCTACATAGTACATAGTTATTTTCTTTTTTTTAAATGATATATGCCGGTAAATAGCATTTTTGTGCCCAGCCCCATGAGGTGCGGCAGTACTAACCTGCTGTGTCGTCTTCTCCGTCTGCTTCAGCCACTCCGTGTCACAGCCTAGTCATCTGCTCCATCCTGACCTCTTCTCCCGCTGATTGGCCGATTGGATGATGACAGGCTTCCTCACCAGTCACTCCTGACTGGTGAGGAAGCCTGTCAATCATCCAATCAGCGGGAGAAGAGGTCAGAATGGAGCAGATGACTGAGGACTTGGAGGAGGAGTTTGCGGCCATCTTGCTTCATTGAAGACGCGATGGAGGTCCTGTGTGCGGCGGATTCGGGTCCCTGAAGATGGCGGACGCGGCACAGGTACTCGTTTTATGTATTGGAGTATTTGCACGAGTACGAGTACTCATGCAAATACTCGGTATCGTGGCCGATACCGATGCTTGTATCGGTATCGGTGCATCCCTAGTTTACATTATAAACAATGGCTGATTCTTTCTTAATGCTACAAATTCTCTGATTCACTCTATTTACTGTGTGCTTTGTGTACATTGGTGGTGATGGCAGGGAGGAGAGATACTGTCAGGATGCTGTGCGGGGAGGAAATAGCTGTCACAAGAGGCTGAGCTCTCCTCCCGCAAGGACCACCCCGCAAGGCCTCCTGTGACAGGCGAGTCAGGATGGAGAGTGGGTTACAAGCACTCAGCGATCAGAACTGATCACTTAGGGGTCTATTCACTAAGCTGCCGTAGGCAGCCGAGTGAATGACCGACCTGAAGTGAAGTGAGCCGAACACTGTTCGGCTATTCACTTCAGGCTTGTACGGCTGATTTCAGCCGTACATCAGCTGAAATCAGCTGTACACGGGCTTGCTTCGCGTGGCTTCAGGTCGGCCGAACATGCTCAGCATGTTC